TGTGTGTGTGTGTGTGTGTGTGTGTGTGTGTGTTTGAGACAGGGTCTCCCTGTAGCCCCAGCTGGCCTGGAATTTGCTATGTAGACCAGGCTGACCTTGAACTCACAGACATCCACCTGTCTCTGCTGGAACTAAAGGTGTGTGCCACCATACCTGGCTACGAATCATTTTCTTAACTCCCATGCTGGTCTCAATACTGGAACACTTTTTTAAAATCAACTATGTAAATATCAAAAAGGTTGTGTTGCTAGGTTTAAGATTTTTAAAATTTTCTCATGTATATGAGTGTTTTTCCTGCATGTATTGCAATGCCCACAGAGGGGAGGAGTGGGATCCCCTAGAACTGTTAAGGACAGGTATAAGCCACCATGTGGATGCTTAAAAAGACACTCAGGTCCTCTGAAAGAGCAGTCAGAGTTCTTAACCACTGAGTCATCTCTCCACCTCCAATAGCTTTGTTTATGAGAAAGCAAAGCACTATTTTTCATAATGAAGAGGCATTATCATCCGAGAACACAAAGTTTAACAATGCCCTTCTCGCCTATGAAAACTATAGTGAACATTGCTTCCCATTGCTAAACTAAAACATGACACTAACTACTTCCACAAAACACAAATTACTGATGAATTTGTAGTTCCCTGAAACTTGTAGTTTCAACTTAAAACTAAAAAGAAAAGCAGAGGAGCCTCACTAAATCGAATCAAATAAAAATCTGAGCATTTGGGACAGGTTTAGTGGCATAGGCCTTTAATCCCAGCACTCTAGAAGGAAAGGCAGACAGATCTATCTGAGTTTAAGGCTACCTGTGTACATACTAATTTCCAGTCCAGTCAGGAAGACCTTGTCTCAAAAATAAAATAAGACAAACTCAGAGCATTTAGCTGCAAGTTCTCACAGTGAGAACCACTGCCATGCTATCTAGCACACTGACTTCTATTCTCTAGCTCTCTTGCCTTTAAGACTTGCTTTTTACTAACAATCTTCATCAGCAATTTGGTAAAGTTAACATTAAAGGAGGGACTAGCTAAAGCATTTTTCCTTCATTCCCTTCCCCAGGGTAACTATGCTTCTTAAATATGTCCTCCAGCTTTTTTTTTTTTTTTTGTGGTGGTGGGGTTTTATTTAATGAAATCGCATGTAATCAAAAGGAATTTGAATGGATTGTATAACACAGGTGTGAAGATGTTTAATCGCAGTTAAGCATGTACAACAGATCAGATGTTGGAAAACCAAGGTTAGAAATATGAGTTTTATTAAAGCACAAGCAACAGTCAATGTCATGAAACCATCAGAAAATGTAAGGCACAAAATATACACACACAAGAAAAAGTCACTGTCTGAGACTTATGTTTGCACTTAAGAATAAGAGCCAGGTGTGGTAAAATACACCTGAAAACACAGCAACTGAGAAGCTGAAACAGGAAAACACTGGTAAGCTTCAGGGTAGTCTAGTCTATATAACGGATTCCAGGTCAGTCAGGGCTATATATCCAGGCCTTGTATAAGAAAAAAAAGTGTAAGGCTGGGCACAGCAGTACATACCAGTAATCCCTGAACTCAGGAGGCTGAAGGAGGAGGGTTGCTGCAAGTCTGAGGCCAACCTGGGCTACATAATAAATTCAAGGCAGGCCCAACCTGGACTACACAGTGAAATCACCTTTAAAAAAATGATGGCACATGCCTCTAATCCCAACAGGCAGATCTCTATGAATTTGAGGTTAACCTTGTCTACACAGCAAATTCCAGGCTATCTTGAGCTATATAGTGAGTCTCTGCCTCAAAAAAAAAAGCCAAAATTGGTCAATGATGATGGAGTGGGGGGTTGCAGAAGAAAAGCCAAAGCAAGGTGAGAAACAAGGAATAAGTTCAAAAGAAAACAAGTTAAAATGGCCCAGGGATAGGCGTATTAGAACTAGAATCCAGTGATCCAATGTAATGTCATTCAGTGTGCTCAGATTCCCTAGTGGCCTTAGAATTATCTCAACAGAACAGAAAGCCCACCCAGGAGTTAGGAGTAAACAAGTGAGAGGAAGTACAGGTGGAGGAGCAAGCAAATGCAGAAAACACTGGAGGAATCCATACAAAAGGGAGGGAGAGGGAGAGCAAGCTGTACCCTAGCCTGTCTGCCCACAACCACACCTGTTCCTTTTCAGAACTCTGCTAGAGCTATGAAATTATATCATTCAGCACAAAATTTTATGGAGCCTTTATTAACTGAGCTGGCTACGCCATTTTAATGTGACTACATCAATCAGTTTTATCACTTTGAGATACAACCCAAGCATTCTGGCTTCAATACTGCAACTCTGCTACAGTACATTCTGTAATGCTTACACACCCAAATCATCTTGTGTTCCTACTTGTCCTTTCAGAGGCTACCTTATCAGCGCATCAAAAAAAGCTGCCATGTGGATCCACTTACTACTAAATAGCCTACATGAGTAATAAAACTTTCTACCTATTAAGGGGAGGTATCATGTAAAGAGGATATATACAGAAAATGAGTCTCCTTTGGAATTTCTCATTTAGAGAAATCACTATTAGGTACAGTCACATATAACTACACATATAAACATTTTAGAACTGATCACCTTAACCATAAAAGCTTTTTAGTATTTCTACCTAAACATGTAATTTTATCTTGAAATCTTGTGTGTGTTGTGTATTTTGGTGGTGGAGATTGAACAAGCAAATACAATTTTCAATAATGCCTTCTCAAGCCAGGTACGGTGACACAAACCTTTAATTCCAGCATTTAGGAAGCAAAGGCAGAAGCTTGAGCACAGCCTGGTCTACCATAGTAAGTTTGGGGTTAGCTAGGGATATATACATAATGAAAGCTTGTCTTAAAATAATAATGCTCTCACTTCTTAGTACCCCATTATTTTCTTAAAAGGGAAATATTTAAGTTTATAGAGATAACAGTTGTGAATCTCCAAAGTATCAACTCAGATTTCATTAAAATTTTAAACATGGGAGCTGGAGAGATGGCTCAGCGGTTAAGAGCACTGACTGCTCTTGCAGAGGACCTGGGTTTGATTCCCAGCACCCACATGGCAGCTAACAATCCCCCTTAACTCCAGTTCTAGGGGATCCGATGCCCTCTCCTGACCCCCTTGGGCACTGCACGACATGGGTGCACCTATTTACAAGCAGACATTACACCTATACACATAAAATAAATTTTTTTTAAAATTTTCACCATATCAGGCATGGTAGCACACACCTTTAATCCCAGCACTGGGAAGGCAGAGGCAAGTGGATCTCTGTGAGTTCAAAGCCAGCCTGGTCAACAGAGCAAGTTCCAGGTCAGCTGGGGCTATAGGGAGCCCCTGCCCCAAAAACAAACACAAAAAACAAAACTTCAAACATAATACACAAATTGTCATTATTTAAGTCACTCCCCAGTATAAGCAAGATAGCTTAATTGTGGCTTATATGTCATTCAACAATATGTTAGCCTTCCAAAAACAACAGCTGGTCTATGGGTACAAGGAAAATCAGACTCAGACATTAGGCTGAGGATTGCTGAGTGAGGCCTGCCATATGCCTGAGTCCTAGCTGGCAGCACATTATGATATATAGCATAGAGCAGATACCTTCTTCACGTCAGCTATCCGTTCCTTCTTGGATGCAGGCTTCTCTTTGGCTTCTGGAAGGACTGGCTGGGATTTGGAACCTGCAGATTCACTCTCAGATTCTGACTGACTCTCAGAGGATTCAGAACTGCTATTTGACTCGCTGCCATGTCCACTTCCAGGATCACTACCCTGTTCACTTTCCGACTGACTGCCGGAGTCTGAACCCGAAGCTTCTTCAGAGGCTGAATGACTTAATTTAAGAGAGACACAGGCAGAGAGACTTAGAAACATTTATAAACCACCACATAAATCAATTTTTTAAATCCTTGTAGTAAAATATTAGATAGCAACAGTAATGTAACATCCCAATCTTCAAATTCATTGTTTTCTGTATTGCAAATACTGCTTTACTATCATTCAACAGCACCATTTCTTTCATGTTTGAGACCAGCCATACACCAGGTAATTTATAATACACATAATATATATATATATGTACATATAACACTCAGAGATAGATGTAGTTTCCTTTATTTAAATGAGGTCAAACTATAGCTCAGAAATATAAGTAAGTCTCAGACAGAGCTGAAACAGGAAGATCTGAAACCATGATTTCGGTCCACTAAATCTTACCTGTTTAAGTATCAATGTCTCCTCAAAAGCAAAAACAAAGTGATGGAAAAAAAGAAAAAGAAAAAACACCAAAAGAGTTTTTTGAAATCTGGTTGCAATTATCCAATCAGTGGTTCATTCTCACTGAAAAGTGAAAATTCGAGCTGGCTGCCTTTAATCCCAGTACTCAAGAGGCAGAGGCAGGCAGATTTCTGTGAGTTTGAGGTCAGCCTGGTCTACACAGCCAGTTCCAGGCCAGCTGGGGCTACAGGGATACCCTGTCTCAAAAAGACCAAAAAAAGAAAGAAAAGTAAAAATTAGATATGTGTAGCTTCACAAAAATATTTATGTACATTAACCCCATCTCAGAGGTCCTGCCTCAAATGAAAAATGAATCCCACAATCTGATAATGGCATGCGCCACCATACCCAGCCTTCCATGTCTTATCCCCATCTCTTACTTTTTAGCTGTGCCATCTTTCAACCTGTGCCACCTGCCTGTAGAGTCATGAGAGAATCAAATAGCAGCTATAAAAGCAGCACTACCCCTACACAGATGCCAAAGCCTTACCTAGAAAGAAGAAATAAATCTAAGACTAACACCTAATCTCGGATTCCCTAACAAAGTTCTCTCCAGATAAGTAAGTTAGTACAACAAAACTCATGGCACTAAGTAGGAATTTATTAGTTTTGCCTCCATAATCTTCACATAAGATACAGAACCAGCTGCAGAATTTACTTAAGGAAATCAAAAGGGATATGCACATTGCAATAGGAGTGGAAGGTTCTGGAAGCTAAATTTGTAGAGCAAAGGCCAGTGAGAGCTTACAGAGGCCTGAAAGATTAGGGAGAGTTAATGTTGCCCCTTACAGTCGGACCCCTGGCCTGGTCTTTGTGTCCATCTCAGCATACCCTAGGAAACCTGGCCTCTGCCAATTCCCCCATGCTCATCTCTTATCTGGTCTGTATCCCTATCTGCTCCAGTCATACAGAACACCTGAGGAAGCACAGCATAAACCCTAGTTTATCACTCACTTGTCCAACCCCCACACACAGTGCTTATGCAGCAAGCTAAGTAACTTAGGTATCACTTTCTATAGGAAAGCATGCTTTGCACTATCATGTTCTAAGCTTGGTATCTATTGGACACCTCTAAATGCTGGCCTGTCACTGCAATTACTAGCACTGAGAAGCCTCATCTTGGAGTCAGCTTTGATTCTCAACCTCTGCAGTCTCTCACTTTTTGTTCTGACTCCTATCCTAGAAAACTGAATCCAAAGCACCAGCAGCTGGGTTGGGAGTCCAGCTTGGTGATACAGTTTTGCCTATCATGCATTTAGTCTGAGGCTTCAACCCCAACATCTGTTAAGGAAAAATTAATACAAAAGATTTAAGGTCAGGTGTGGTAGCATATACCTTTCCTCCCAAGCACTCATGAGGCAGAGGCAACAGATCTTTGTTTGAGGCCAAGCTAGTTCCAGGTCAGCCAAAGCTATGTAGTGAGACCATCTCATTAAAAAAAAAAAAAAAAAAAGAAAAGAGCCCCAGCTATTGATTTCACATCTAAATTACTTTGTCTCCCACTTGTCCCAACCTAAAAAATAATTTTGACCACTTATCAACCTCCAAAATAGACTTAAAACCTAAAGCAGTCTTCTCAGTATTCCTTGGGCCTAATATACAGAAAACAGATTTACTGCCTTGGCTACAAAAGACAATCTCCCTGCCTAATGAAATGACTTGGTGTTTCAGCTGCTATAACGCTTAACTGCAGGCAAAGAGTTTATGGATAGAATCATATTGTGACAATTATCACCAACTAAAGCTGTCAGAGGACACAGTACAATTCATACAGTCAATGAGAAAATACCTCAACATGACTCAAAGCCAAATAGTTTAAAGACCTAGAAAGCCATAAAGAAACAGCTTTAGTCAACTGCAGAAAACTAACAGTCCAGTTAACTAGAAATAATTTCAGTCTTGTGTTGAGAAGCAGGACTCATTGTAGATGTAACACAACTTTCAAGACATGTATACCATTCCCTATGAACTGCCAAATAAATAAGTCATCTTTCAGTTATTTTAAATTGTTCTCTTAACCAGTAAGCTACAAATCCTTCACCAACTTCCATGTATCTCTATGACTAAGCAAAAAACTGAGGTTTTTCCAATTGCTCACTGTAACCAACAAAATTATTAATTTTCTTCTTATGTGCCTTCTTGAACAGCTGTGTATCTCTGTTGTATAGGGGCGACCATCAGAAATGTAACATTGCACAATTATCACTTCAAGGTAGCAAACAGCCACATTCTTAACAGGACATACTTATGTATATAAATCTTAATCTACAACTTGCTAAGGGTGGCTTATTCTGTTGAAGGGGTACACTTGTAAAATTCATGGGTTAGCTTGTGCTTCTATAGTTTAAAAAAAAAAAAAAAGAAAAGAAAACCTGCTGGAACTGAGAGATGGCTCAGCAGTTAAAGAGTACTGGCTGCTTCTGCAGGACCCGGGTTCGATTACCCACGTAGTGACTAAGAGCCATGGTGGCTAATTCCAGCTCCAGGGGATCTGACGCCCTCTCCTGACCTCCATAGGTATTTATTGCACAACACAAGTACACTTACATATACTCATTTAAAACCTACAAAAATCACACTCAAGAAAAACACAGTTATAGTTACTCCTGGGTTTTTTGGTTTGGTTTCATTTCATTCTGTTTTATCAGACAGGGTCTCACACTATGTAGCCCTGGCTGGGCTGGAATTCCCTTTACTTTCAGAGAACTGAAAGTAAAGGAAGGTATGCACCACCACAGCCCTCCCTGTAGTTACCCCTGGGGCTGGGGGAGACAGATGTGATCAGATAATGACATTGACATTTTTATGACTGAAGTCTAGAGGCAAATTCACAACTGTTTAGAATTCTTGAATTTTTTTGGGGGGGGGGTTCTTTTTGAGACAGAGTCTCCCTGTAGCCCCAGCTGACCTGGAACTCATTTTGTAGACCAGGCTGGCCTCAATCTCACAGAGATCTACCTCCCTCTGACTCCAGAGTGCTGGAGTTAAAGGAATGTGCCACCACACCCAGGTCAATTCTTGAATATTTTATTTATTTATTTATTTTTGTCTTTTTGAAGCAGGGTCTCCCTGTAGCCCCAGCTGTCCTGGAACTCACTATGTAGACCAAGCTGGCCTAGAACTCAAGAGATCCGCCTGCCTCTGCCTCCCAAGTGCTGGGACTACAGGTGTGCGCCACCATACCTGGCTAATTTTTGAATATTTTAAATATTTAAACTAATTCACTACCCAAAACAAATATAACCAGAAGAATGAAACCAAAACAGAACGAGATATTAATAAACACACATTAAGACTAAGTGGTTTAAAAATTATTTTTGGTTCAGCGTAGTAGCCCACATTTTTAATCCCAGTATTTCTGAGGTAGAAGCAGATGGATAGATCTGAGTTCCTTCCAGGCCAGCCAGAGCTACACAGTGAGACACTAGAAAAAAAAATGTTTTCCTCATAGTGGCAGAGACCTTTAATGATGAATTCAAGTCAAGCCTCAACTACATAAGACCCTATATAAAAGAAAACTTATTTTGAAACAAGGAAGTCGGATGCAAGACAAACATATTCAGGGAGGAAGTATACTTCTAATAAAAACCTTAATAAAGGTGTTATGTAATTTTCATACTTATAAAAATGAAATTTTGGAGCTGGAGAAATGGTTCAGCAGTTAAAAGAGGTCGCTCTTGCAGAGGACCCAAGTTTGGTTTCCCAGCACCCACATGGTGGCTAATAACCATTCCTAACTGCAGTCCAGGGGGTCTGATGCCCTCTCCTGACCTCCACAGGCACTGCATAATACATGTGCACTTACACACATGCAGGCAATACACTCATTCACATAAAATAGAAATATTTTTAAATAAGAAGTTCCTTAATATTGAAATGGAAAAATCATTTTTAAAAAACTGAAGTATTTGGAGAATTGACAGTCTATCCCTTCAAGGGACAGGACATTTCCTAATACCTAATAATACTACAGTAAGCTACTGAACAGTAGTTATCATGCGAATTTGCAGAAATTCCATGAGATTTTTAATAAAAAGCGTCAGTCTGAGTGGTGACAGATACCCGTAGTCCCAGTACGTGGAAGGGCAAGGAAGGAAGATATGGAGTTGGAGGGTATCCTGTATCCTATTCCCAGTGAGGAAGAGAGGCTCAAATTTAGTTCATGGGTGAAAATCTTTAAATAAAACTTTCACTAAAGAATAAAATTATTCAATGATTTAACAGTTACAATGCAATCAAAAATTAGATTTATAGGAATTATCTATTAAATCCTCATAAAAAGCAAATTTCTATGAAAACTACTTAAATTCTGAGTTGCAAACAAGTTTCATACTTTTCAATTGGACAAAATCACAAGAAAACAACACAATAATAAAGGAGCTCAAGCAAAAACTGGGGTTTTTAAACTCCAATAGAAATAAATGCTTGCCATAATGCTTTAAGAAGCCAAGACCGGGATGCAGAGGCAGGTGGGTCTCTGTGAGATCAAGGCCAGCCTGATGTACACAGTGAGTTCCAGGCAGCTGGAGCTACAGGGAAACCCTGTCTCAAAAAGAC